GGGGGGTCTCTGATTGGTGGAGAGAATGCTGGTGGCGTGGGAGGGATGGGGGAAATCATCGATGGGGAGCGAGACGGAGGGAAAGGCAGCCTCTTTCAGGAATCAGACGGAGAGGACAGAGAACTCGGAGGGAGGAGGGGCAGACAGAGGAGTAGAGCCAGACCCCGGGAACTCCTCTCTATGCCGTCGCGGCCCGACACTTATGCCCGCCTCCCTGTTAGCTGTCCCCCCGCTCTTGCGTTGGAATAGTCCAACCGCCGGTTGGTGGAGGCCAGCCTTCTCGGCTCATTTCCTTCAACTATTGGCCTAAGTAGCTGTCGCTCACTCCTGACGGGACCAATCAGCTCGCGGAAGCTTCTCGAGGAGGGGGTGTCACGCGCAGTCCCCTCAGCGCAGAGTGGGGCCGCGTCCGGCGCTTCGCGTTGGTGGCGGAGGCTTCCTTCCCCCCGCGGGCGCGGGGGGGCGCGCCTCCGAGACCGGCGGTGAAATCCGGCGGCTGGGTCGAGCTAAACGCTGCGAACTCGGAACCGAAGCGTGGCACGAAGAAGCGGGATCGTAGTCATCAGCCTCCCTCGCCGGTCGTTAGAAAAGCCAAGCGCTGACCACATTGAATCAATTCAAAGAAATGTGACTGTTCTTAGGGCTCAAAACGCCGGACCACACTGCTGATTTGATAGTAAAACTAGCTTTCAGCTGGTATTTTTCGACACTTAAACGAGCTAGAGTTAGGTTTGCAATTGTATTTTAACCAGCAGTATCACTCGTCCCTTGAGAGATCCAGTATGTCCTTAGTGCTGACTGCTGATTTTTTTTTTTGTAATTTTTTTATTCCTCTAATGGTATCCTTAATAGCATAACGTTTGTACCCATGGCCATTTAATAGAAAAGACTGTTTATTCTTGATCTGGCCTAGTCTTTCAGCAGGTCTCAGCATTTTCCAATTGTGAATATACTTCTTTTCCCTATGAAACTGTAGTGTTGTAACAAGTTCAAGTCTTGACAACAGGAACGCTGCTTTTCCTCTTGTCTGCTTCTCTTTGAAGCTGGCGTTTCCAAACAGCATACATTGCCGACATCCATTCTCTTTTAACGCTTTGAGAGCTGTTAAGAAGTTTGCTGCTGCATTTATGACATCCCTTGTGCGTTGTTTCCACATTTGTTTTCTGCTATTCCTGTAATACCAGTGCTGGTACTTATTTTATGTGTGTGTGAGTCTATGTTGACTGCAGAAGGTATGATGAAAACAAAGGTAAGGGCTCAGAGGCTAATGCAAATGAGGGGGGCTGTCTGAAATACAAGTAAGATAATTTAGACAGGATGTCTGCCCAATGTTTTACTGCTTTGTTTTCTCCACAAGATGGAAGCCAAGACCCACGTCTAACCCAGAGTCTCCTGTACAGCTTTTACTGGAGAGCTGCGCAGGCCGTGCTGTATTGTACAAGCAATAGAGAGAAGCTTGTGAAGAGCAGTCACCTCTTCCCTTTCATGTTCTAGTGCCCCTTTTTTTTATCTTGTAACCATACTGTTTTATCAACACTACTATCCTAGGCCACAGCCAGTCAAATGGAAGGCTCTATATAAGACCCCATCAAGCATTTTGGGTTTGTCTTCGGTGCAAGAAAGTCTGGTACTTCCCTTGCCTTGACAAATCATTGTCTCACATTCTGCCATTACTTCTTACAAGTTAATACAAGTAACAATTATTATTGACTCACTGGTGATACTGAAATCAGCTGCATGCCACTTACAGCAAAAGGCTTTCTCTGTATTCATTCACAGCTTTTAATGCAAATGTAAGATGATGAGAGACATAAACTATGTATTATTGGAGAGATGTGTCAGTTGCCTGTGATGATTTGATTTCTTATTTGAAATAAACGCTGCAGGGTTTCTGCACCAGATCTCCATGTATGCAATACAGGGCAGGGTAGAATTCGTAACTGTCTTTTCCAGTTCTTCGGATTACACTGCCATGTAGCTACTTGCTGCCTTGTGCTGTAAAAAAACAATTCTGCCCATCCTAGCTTGAAGGGCCTGGAATGTACTTGTATTCTTCTTTTAAAAAAAAAAAAATTAAAAAAATACATCTGACTTGAACACAGTGAAACACAATTATCTATTGGGTAGAAAAGGGAAAGGTCTTTTTTGCTAGGGGGAAAAAAAAAAAGTAAAAATAATTGAAATTCCATTTCTGCTGAATCCATTTTCTTTTACTGTTGAGTTGCTGAGCTGAAAAATCATTATTTGCACTGAGGTACTCCATTATACCTGCACAGCTCAAAATCATCACTCCCTGCTGTGGAAGTTTTTATTTCTTTTTGCTATTTGCACGAGTTACCCTAAAACCTGCTTCCGCTACAATTAAAACATTGCACTGCATGTTTATTGGCCAAATACTCCTTTCCTTCACTCTGTTTTAAATCTGCATAGCGATTCCTGATTGCTGGGCTCAAGGATCATCACCCTGTCAAAAAAGATCAATGTAATTCGATGTATTTTAAAAGCATTAAAAAGATACCTTCTTTATACATGCGCGGGATTGCCTAATGCTAGTAACGCAGCTCATGCAAGCTCTCCGGCCACGCTCGGTGACTAGATTTCTCTTTATTTTGCAGTTTCAGGGATTTAGATACAATAACCACATTCCTAGCACTGCACAAATCGCACTTTTGGTACTAGATCACAGACACCCAAAATACGTCACAGTAAAGATTTCTGAAAGCAACACACGTACAGAGGAAGGGATCAAGCCTTTAGCACAACGAGCTCAAACGACATCAACGTAGTTGCATTTTTCTCCAGGATATTGTGCTTTTTTCTTAGAACTATTACACTTTGAGACACAACAGAACGAAATTACAAAAGCATTCGCTAGTGTCATGATCCAGCAAATTACAGCGCAGTGGGCGGATACCGGACTCCAGGCACTTTTATCAGAAAGCCTCCTCGGTCAGAGGAGTTCAGAGGCCTAAGGTAAAGCCGTAAAACTTCACCGAATTTTCACCTTCAGACAGCAAACTCTCCGTATCCACCTCATTGACATTTACAGGCACAACTTGCAATCACTGTTTGGAGCGGGGATGCGCAAACAAGTGTGTGCTCATAAAGGCATACAGCATATGTCACTTCACAGATCTGCAAAAGCAGTTCCTCCACGTATTTCAGAGAAATACAAGCTCTGCTAATGCACAGAGTTCTACACACAGATGTAGAAGTTTTGTAATTTTAGAGATGTTGGAAATATAAGAATATTTTAGATGTTAAGTATTAAAAATTGTTCCTTCCTTCAAAGAAGGATGCAACAAAACGTCCACAGAATAACTCTAACAGGACGTCTTTGCCATTTTTCATTTGCAGTTATGTTTTATTAATCAATCTTCCTTTTTATAAATTATACTTTGTGGTTGAATCTGAAACAAGAAAAACTATCCCCACACACACACCCATCTAGCACAAAATTAAAAAATAAATCGACAACAAAATGCAGAAAGAAAAGCTAATAATATTGGCACTAATGTTTGCCAACACTCACGTTTGGGCCCCCGATATTTTTATCTTTCTGAGACAGTGCCGTTCCAAGCCTTACATGTCAGATTTTGCCTCCAACTAAGCATGCGGCCGCCAATTCCTCCTTCCCTTCGTCCCACACCAAATCCACCATCGAGCAGTTGATCAGAGCAGATCCAAACCTGGAGAGGTACAACTACAGGGTACGGGGACAAGCCGCAGGACAGTCAGCTCTTGTGCTTCTAGAAACAAACGATCCGGCATAGCAAGGTGCCGAGTGCAGCAACACCCCCAGCGCTCCGCAAGCCTTTACTGGTGACTGTGGAGAAGGCTGCACCGGCAAAGACCGGGCACGGCTGCAAGGCCTTCTCCTCCTCCTCCTCCCCTGCCCGGCAGCTTTGATTCCTCCTGGTGCTCTTCCTCCACTTAGAAGCTTGACACAAAATCTGCCCCCCATGCTCTTGGCTCTCTAGAGGACCTCAAACTGTCAGACAGAAATAAACTGCTTTCTGCTTCATCGTACAGAAAAACTGAGGTCCATGTCTAGAGGACAGCCACAATGACTCAAAATACCTGGGGACAGATTTTTTAATTTTTTTAACATTTTTTTAAATGAAAAAAAAAAAAAAAAAAGGCGTATTCTTGCTTTATAAGAGGTTTTTGTCCCTGTTTTTTTTTAGACCTGGTCCCTTCTGATGGGTTTTTCTTTCCTGCTGTTTTTGACAAAAAAACTCTTTCTGCAGTAGATGAATTTATAATTAAAAATGCAGCATTGTCCATGGAAATAACATTTGCAACACTATACAATTCTTTTTCTTCAGTGTAACTCACATTAACACTAGGTGCACTTACAATATTTAGTCAGATTTTTTTTAATTATTGGATGAGGAAATATATAATATTAACACTTCGGCACATCAAACAAACATATCAATTTCCTACAACAGAGACTTCTGCCTTTGGACTACGTGATAATGCACCACCACAAATGAAAAGATAAAATTTAGTCAGGAAAGGAGGAGGACATTTCTCAGCGAGAAAGGTCACTAGCACGAGCAGTTCTGCTGCGAAGGGGGTGGGTTGTCCGTGAGTCGCATGCCCCTTCCAGAAGTGCCTCTGGAAGGGTCTGATTCTATACTCTCTGACATCTTTTCACAGATTATATCCACCAGGCGCTCAAACACCTGCCTTACGTTGATGTTTTCTTTGGCACTAGCTTCAAAATAGTCAAAACCTGTGAGAAAAAGTGAAAAAAAAAATATCAATAGAGACTGATGATAACGGAGATGGCTTTTAAAATACTAACCAATTTTTTCAGAATTCACCTTAAGAAAACAAGACATTAGACAATTCTTCAGCTCAGCTGATTCCCACAATCTCAGAATACTGAGCAGAAATACTTCCAAAATTTATCAAGCATCAATAAGAGTCAAAGGTATAAATGGATCCCGACCGTAGCCCTGGTAAACACATCTGCAGATGATACAGATCTGAATAAACTCAGGACAAGGGAGTTGAATTCTCCCACTGCCCTTAACTGGTCACGTACGGAGGGGCCTTCCCGGGCTCCACGCACCCCTGCGCCACAGGCACTCTATGAACCACCACTGCAGCCCAGCAAGAGCAGAGACCAGAAAGAGAAGCAAGATCATAGTTATATTCCTTCTGCTGACCAACTTCTGCACTTGTGAGCAAAACGCTCCACGATTTTGGTCCTATTTTTCCCATTCTTTGATTAGATGGAAAGCTCTTCAGGGTGATTAATACTTGTACAGCACATGTCACGACAGAGCACCCATCCTGACAAGGGCCGTTCAGCACTGCTCAATTACAAATAATGCTGAGTACCTCCTACAGAGGCATTTCAGTGTCCAGTCACCAGCTCCTAGCTGCAATGATGAGTATGGATTCTCAAATACTGACCCTTTCTCATAAAAAAAAAAAACAAAACAGGAAGGCTGGAATTATGTCAAGGTGGGGAGGGCACACAGACAGGATTCCTGC